ACATAAAACGAGACACAGACAGATACAGCAGGTGAGTTAAAATAAGTGTAAAACCTGAAATGAGGCGACGTTTTCTTACATTTGTGCTTCTGTTGAAACTGAGGAGTGTAGGGTGAGAAGTCCACGCTGTCCACCATGACCTGGAGGACGCTGCAGACGGCGTTTAACGTGGAAGGAACCTGGAGGCCAGACGGCATCAGTCAGTCACTGGATGAGTTCACCACTTCATAGAAATGTTCATCAGTCACAGCAAACATTTCAGCACCATTTACTGCAACCACCTTTTACAGAAGTCTCTCAAAACGATAATCAGTCTGTTCAGCTTTAATATCAAAGTGTAGAATCGCTTCGGCTCTACGGAGGTTTGATCCATTAGAATAAACGGAACAAGAAATAAACTAGAACAATAAAAACAGGAGCAAAACAAACACTCGATCAGCACTGAGCCCCTCAAAGCAGCTTTTTATTGTTGTTATTATTTACTGAAGCTTCCNTGAGAATCATTCTTTGATTCATCAGCATCTACTTCAGTCTCTCCTACTGACTCAACCATCTGAGAGTCTTTCTTTTGCTTGCGGTCACCTTTTTTGGTCTGTTCTGGAGGCGATGCTTTGCTCTGACGTTTGCGCTTACCTTGCGACTGGCTTTCATGATCAGATGGCGACTGTACGTCACTTTGGCTGGACGCATGCTCGCTGGTGCTTCTCCGCTTGCGTTCAGGTTGAGCGAGGAAATCCTCGGAGTTGCTGAACAGCTTGATCTTCTTGCGTTTGTTTTCTCGAGTCTGAGAGTTGCTTTGGCTCGACTCGCTCTCGTCTAACTGAGATCGTCTTCGTAATCTGTTCTTACCGCTGTTGTCCTCGGCGGCCTGCTTGCTCCTCGTGTTCGGTCTGCTTTGTAGCGGCTGTGGAGATTCGATTAAACACGCTTCTCTAGAACGTCTCTTTTTCATGTCTTTCGTTTCCCCTCCCTCAGGTTCCTCTCTGGGAACCGGAGGTCGGCCTCTGGAGCGTCTAGTCCGTTGGGATTTGTCAGAAGAAGTCTGGCTCAAAGATTGCGAATCCTCCATCGCTGCTTGAGATTCCTCTTCCTGGCTTGAAGGTTTCGCTTCTTCCTCTGCTGTGGAAGTAATTTTTGCACCCTCCACTTCAGTCTGGGTATCCGGGATAACGTCCTCATCTTCTGTCGACTCACTAGGAAGCCTTTCAGTCAGCTTCACAGGCTCGGTTTTCGTCCTCGACTCTTTCGGCCTTCGTGGAGACTCTGTGACATCGTTTAGGGAGCTCTGCGAGTTGACTGTATTTGACTGAACGGACTGGGAATCCTGAGAGTCTGGACCAGCGGAAGAGGACCTCTGACTGGAGGTCTTTACCAGAGGACCTGTAAACGAGGATGCGCTGCTCGGGCTGGCTAGTTTTCCTTCAGCATACTTCTCCAGAGTGATGAAGGACTGGCGGCGGCTGTTGGGTTTCTGAGGAGTTCCTGAAACCAAATCTGAAGAAGCAGAGACGTTGGGACTCTCATCTTCGGCCTTATCGTCACTTTTGTTAGCATCCTCCATAGAAACATCCGTAGAGTCAGGGATGATCTCTTCTTGCTGGTGGGTTTCTGTTGCGTTCTCAGCATCTTTTGGGCTGATGTAGTCCTGGGTGTCTTTCGTTAGAACTTCAGCATCGTCCTCTTTTTCCACATCTTTCTGAGGAACCTATAAGAAACCAGATGTAAGTTCCTAAATCTGTCTGCAGACAAGTTAAAATGAGAAAGAAAGCAACCATATTTGTGATGTTCTGACTATGAATACGTAGAAAATGTTAGCTCCAGAAGGCTTCTTCGTGGATTTACAGTTACAGTAAAGCAGAGATGGCTTCGGTTTGTCTGAACAAAGAAGTTTCCTTCTTTTCTTTTTTGTCCTGTCTGTAAAATCTGGTATAACATAAAGCTATAGTTATTTATTCATCGACACAGAACCAGTCTCTCCTGTCGTTTGTATTTACTCGTCTAATGATGGTTTATTACCTCTCCAGGAGCTTCTTTGGCACCGCCGTCAGTCGACACTTTGTCCCTGTGGGGAAAAAAGATGAATTATGCATTTGTTGTTCTATATGAGAGATTCAGAGATTCCCTCCGAGTGGTTCAGGACTTACATGGAGTCCTCTTGGCTCTGAGTGTACTGGCTGAACACCGTGGTGTCCAGAGAGGCGTCCAGGTTGTTGTACATGGCCGGGATGTCGACCCTGTTCAGAGACAACGTCAGCGCCACACAACCAACAACAGGCAAACGTTGAACAGACCAAAGGGGAAGCCTCACCTCTTCGTCCTCTTCACCTCCTTCTGGTGCTCCGTCAGGACTCTCTCCTTGGTCTCAGGAGGGATGAAGACGAAGTCGATGGACGCCTCCTCCTCTAGAACCTCTCTGCGGGGAGGTTTGGGAGAACCAAAGTCCAGCTTCGTCTGCAGAAGGAAGCAGAAGAATAAAGAAGATGAGAGAATGTACAGCGAAAAAAAACAAAGAAAACCCTGCAGGAGGATTTACGGCAACACTGTGGATTTTATATCAAACGACAATAAAAGAGAAAACAGAATCCATCACAGGAGTCAGAACAGTAAAGCAACTGGACAGAACAGTCACATCTCCCTGTTCCTGAACCCACAATGATGCCTTTTAGCGCTCGTTTTGTGGCATTCGTGTTTGTACGGCAACAAACTGTTGTGTTTCAGCTTTACAACCAAGACTCCTTCCTGGGACAATCAAATAATCATTAATCCAAACCTTTATTGCCTTTTTGTGAGGATGTAACATACGTCTTATATGTTCCTCACTGTTCTGTAGCGATGCTGTAATCAGGATTAAAATGTGTTGTTGCACTCATAAGTAAACTCTTGTCTTGATGCATCCATCAGTGACTTCATTACGATTTGGTAGCCGTTGAGTGGTGAGTAAATAACACCATCTATGTACAAAGAATATCTGCTGAAAAATTCAGTATCACCATGAAAACATGCAAAACAGCAGGAAAATGGGTTAATTCACAACAATGGATGCAAAATGAGCCAAATAAGATGCAAGATATCCACAAAAACAGGCTAAATCATCACAAAAAGATGCAAAATGAGCCAAAAGAAGATGAAAAATAACCAGAAAGAGAGGCTTAATTATCAGAAAAGACATGAAATCATCACAAAAAGATGCAAAATCAGCCAAAAAATATATAAAATAACAACAAAGAGGCTAAATTGTCACAAAACAACAATAAATCACCACAAAAACAGGCTAAACCATTGAAAAAAGACATGAAATCCTCATAAAAAGATGCAAAACAAGCCAAAAACCCCCCAGAATAATCACAAATACGGGCTAAATCACACCAAGAAGACATGAAATCATTATCAAAAGTTTCAAAATCTCTACAAAAACTTGCTGTTGATAGGTTTCCAGGTTGCAGTGATTCAGTCTGCTGCTGGTTTATCATTATATCATTATACCATTATATCAGCATCTTTATAGTCACTGCGCTCTGAGCAGGTGCATCTACTGAGAACATGAAGAGGTTGACAGATATATATACTCTGAAATCCAACTGTGGTTCCGTCTGAACTTACAGAAACCGGTTTGCTCTTGGTGGAGCTCCTGTCCTTCACCTCAGCAGCTCTCCCCAGCAGCGAGTCTCTTTTGCCCACAGAGGAAACAGGAATCCCGCTGAGCTTGGTCTCCAGCTGGGAGCCCTCACTCTGAACACACAAACACAGAGCGGTGAGTGAGACCAGAACCAGAACACCGATCAGAGGACAGACGCCGGTGGACACTCACCGAATACTGTCCGCTGAGCTCATCAGGAACACTGACGACCTCGAAGCCAGGCAGGATGATGGGAGTCTTCTGCTTCACCTGGCTCAGGATCGGCCTGCAAACAGACACTGAGGTTATTCATCACCATCACCTGGGACACACCGACACCGGGCCGCCTCCTCCTCAGAGCCAGAGCTTCTCACCTGATGCTGTCGGGATACGTGAGGCTGACGGTGTTGGCGAAGGTGGAGTTCCAGAAGTGGACGACGGAGGTTCGCAGCTGCTTGTTCTTGTGTGGAAACAAGACGCAGAGCAGAGGACAGAGCAGCGCCAGCAGCTCCTCGTTGAAGGCCAGAGTGGAGCGGGTCTGCAGGCAGCCCAGAACCTCACCCAGAAGCTTCTCCAGCTGCAGGAGGACACAGACAGATGCTGCTTTCAACGCTTTAAAAGACGAAAGTTATAAAACGATCAGAGGAAGAGCTCACCTTCCCCAGGAGCTGCGAGGAGAACTTCTCGCCGGCGGCTTGTGAGTAGAAAAGCGTGAGTGGCTGCATGAGGGAGGTCAGGGCCTCCTGGACGGCGTTGTTGAGGACCAGGTTGGTGAAGAGCGTGGACAGGACGGACACCAGGGCCGAGCCCGTGGCCTCGGAGGAGGCCTCAGGGTTCTCCAGGTAGACCTCCAGGCTCTGCACCAGCAGGGACTGGAACGTGGACAGGTTCCCCAGAGCTCGGTTCCGCTTCCGCATCCAGTTCACGGGAGTGTGAGGAGCTGTGAGGAGATACCAGAAGTTAAGCCTCCATTTACAACCCCAGAACTG